AAGGACTGTGGGGAAAAAGGAACCCTTCTCTACTGTTGGAGGGAATGTAGACTACTGTAACGACTATGGAAAATCAGTGTGGAGATTCCTCAAAAAACTAGGATTAGAGGTCTCTTTTGACCCAGTTATTCTACTTCTGGGTATTTTCCCAGAAGAATTGAAAACATGATGCCACAGTGATAACATGTTCATCCATGTTTTATAGCAGCACAATTTGTAGTAAGTAAAACTTGGAAACAACCCAAAGGCCCATTAACTGAGGAATGGATAAAAACATGTAGTATTTTTATACATTGGAGTATTACTTAGCTATAAAGTAGGATAAAGTTGAGACATTTTTAGGTAAATGGATGCAACTTAAGACCATACTCATAAGTGAAATAAGTTACACTAACATGTATAAACATCATATTGTTTCCCAGGTGTAAGAAGCTGAAAAAGTAAATAGGATCCAGAATATACAATAGATATTATGAAGTGGAAGGAAGCCGTTCAAAAGGAAAGAGAGACTGGGATGGGGAAAGGAGAAAAAGAAGGAAGGCAAAGAAAAATTTATAAATATGTATGTACATATATATATATATATATACAAATATACACACAAGAGTTAAGATAGTTATACTACTAATTGATACTAGTTCTTTGAAAAGGAAGTTGCATACCTATATTGTTTGATCAATTTTTTATGCCTGTAACTTATAATAGGAGCCACTACTTTGGAAATAACTACACAATGTATTAATCATTGTTACTGTGCTACAATCTTATTTTGAAATTTTGTATCATTGTTTTTAGGGGTTTTTTCCTTTAAAATTAAAACAAGCAAGCAAGCAAACAAAAACCCAAAAAAAGATATTCCAAGCAGCTGAGACTGGAAAGAAAACAAGAGCAGCTATTCTAATTTCTGACCAAGTTCACTTCAAACCAAAACTAATCAGAAGAGAAAAAGAAGGTCACCATGTATTGGTACAGGGAAAAATTTACCAAGAAGATTATATATACATATTTATTGAACATTAGCACTCCCAATTTCATAAAAGAAAACTACTTGACATAAAAGGACAGATAAGACACCAACTCAATCACAGCAGGGGAGTTCAATGCCCATCCCCCATAAATAAAGAGGTCAACTTGACAAACAAAAAATCAACAAAGAAATATCAGGGTTAACAAATGGATTTAACTGTTACCTACAGAATGTTTCATCTAACAACAGCATTCTTCTCAGCAGTATATGAAACTTTCTCCAAAACATGTCTCAATAAATACAAAAAATTGAAATAACTTCTTTGCATCTTACGAGATCATAGTAGAACAAAATTTGAAATTAACAGCAAAACAAACTTTAGAAACTACACAAGTACATGGGGATCAAATAACACACTCGAGCAATAGGTCACAAAAGAAATGATAGAAGAAATTTAAAAATCCCTAGAATCATCTGACAACAGTAATACAATATGTAAGAATCTGTGGGACGTAATGAAAGCAGTTCTTAGAGGGACTTCATACCTGTGAGTGTCTACATTAGAAAAACAGCAATTCCCAAACCTACTGATACATGTGAAGGTCCTAGAAAAACAAGAACAATTTGAAATCCACAATTCGTAGAAGGAAAGAAATTAATGAAAACAGATAAATGAATTGGAGACTAAAAAAATTACAAAGAATCAATGAACTTAAAAAGAGTATCTTCTTCTCTGGGAAGAGAAATAAGATTGATAAATTCTCAGGTGAACTTAGTAAATGAAAGAGAGAGAAGATCCACATCAATACAATTGGAAATGAAAAAGGTGAAATTACAAAAGGTTACTATAGAAACCCAGAGAAATATTAGAAGCTATTTTGAAAATTTACATTCCAATGCAATGAATTGGAGAAGCTAAAGGAAAAAATGGATAACTTTCTAGACACATATGACTTACCAAAACTGAACCAAGAAGATTTAAAAACTCTGAACAGACCAATAACAAGCAATGGAAGTGATGCCATAATAAAAATTCTACAACTAAGAAAATCCCAGGGTCTGATGAATTCACTGAATTTTAACAGAACTTCAGAGAAGAACTGATGCCAATACTCCTCAAACTTTTCCATGTAATTGAAAGGGAATGCTTCCCAACTCATTGCATGAAGCCAGTTGTGATAGTGAAACTGAATAAGGACTCAAAATATAAAAATAAACTATAAGTTAATATCCTTGATGAACAGGGTTCAAAAATCCTCAGTAAGATAACTTGCATACAAAGTTCCACATATACCGTAAACAAATGGGTTTCATGTCAGGGATGCTAAGGTGTTTCATCAAACATAAATCAGTAAGTCTAAGGTACCACATAAATGAAACAAAGTGTAAAAATCACATAATCACCTCAATAGATGTAGAGAAAGACTGACAAAATCCAGTATCTCTGTCTGTCTGTCTGTCTGTCTGTGTCTCTCTCAATTTTTGAGAATCTCACTCTTGGCCTTGAATTTGCTGCCATCCTCCTGTCTCAGCTTTTTGAGTGCTGGGATTACTGGTGTATCCCACCACACCCATCTCTTCATGACTAAAAAAGCCCTGATGAAAATAGGAATAGAAAGACATTACTTCAAATTGATAAAAATCATATGGGAAAAACATACAGCCAACATCGTAGGTAAAAGTTGAAAGGATTCCCTCTGAAATCAAGAATAAAACAAGAATCTCCACTCTCACCATTCCTGTTCAGTAGAGTACTTGAAACATTATCCAGAGAAATCAGAAAAGACAAGGAAATAAAAGAGATATGTATAGGAAAAGAAGTCAAATTATCCCTATTTGCAGATGATATGATCTTATATACAGAAAACTTCCCTCATTAATACTTCCCCAACCGGGCATATGGCTCAGGGGCAGAGAACCTGCCTGGCAAATGCAAGGTCCGGATTTTGATTTGACAGAGAGAGAGAGAGATAGAGAGAGAGAGAGAGAGAGAGAGAGAGAGAGAGACAGAGACAGAGAGAGACAGAGAGACAGAGACAGAGACAGAGACAGAGACAGAGAGACAGAGAGAGAGAGAGAGAGAGAGAGAGAGAAATGGACATGTAGACCAATGCAATAAGACATAAAACAGAGAAACAAATGCATGCACTTTCAGCCTTTTGATGTTCTATAAATTGGCCAAAAACATTTGGAGGATAGCCTCTTTAACAGAAGGTGCTGGGAAAATTGGTTTTACACATACCGAATATCGAACCTAGATCCATATCTCTCACCCCATACTAATATCTAATCAAAAAGGACCAAAGGCAGATATACAAACAGAAATATGTTTCTGATAGAAGATAACTTAGGGGAAACTCTTATAACCAGAGGCATAAGAAGGAACTTCGTGAATAGAATCAACAGGTGAGATTTACAGCAAACTAAAAATTTTCTGTACAACAAAGGAAACAATCAACAGAGTCAAGTGACAACCTAAGAATGGGAGAAATTTTTTTGTCAGCTACTCCCCAAAAGGGTTAATATCTAGACTATACAAAGTACTATAAAATCCCCCCCTCAACTTTGGATGTCAGGTATTTTGTCTCAGCAATGAGAAAAGTAAGACAGTTAAATTTTTTTTAACAGTTTGCCAGGGCATTAATCCTATAGCATTGTTAAATTCATGCTGTAAGTTCTAGCAGTTTTTTGTATATATTTTATGATTTGCATACCCACTTTTTCTTTTCATTTTAGAAACCATGTAAGGTATGTCAATATGTAAAATAGCAGTTCCCTCCAGTATACATGTGTAGGATTTCTCTCTTTTGTAACAAACAAACTCTCAGCCCATATGTAGCATAGAGATTAGTATCTCCTGAACTTCCTCACCTTCATCCTCTTTGTATTCACTTCTGTCCTCAGTGCCTAGACCAATGCTTGTCACATAGTATTAATAAACATATTTAATTGGATCTGATTGAAATGTACTATGTATTCTAGTAATTCATACTCAAGTATCTCCCACAAGGGAAGGTATTAGAATCTTCAAATGTAAGTATGTATGTGCAAACACATATATGTAGTTTTCATACTGCTTCTGAAATGAAAACAAAATGAGAATATTAACAACCTTTCCCTACCTGTATGTTATTTCTTAGAGAAAAAAAATTTTTTTTTGGTACCAGGGATTGAACTCATGACCTCACACTTACCAGGCAAGCACTTGAGCCAACTGAGCTAAATCCTCAGCCCAAGAAAATTTTTTTGAGACAGGGTCTTCCTAATGTAGTTCCAGCTGGCCTTGAACTCACTATGTACCCCAGGCTGGCCTTGAACTTGTGGCAGTCCTCCTGCCTCAGCCTCCTATGTGCTGGGATTACAGGCCAGCTGTTTCTTAAAAAATTTATTTAAACTGAAGTTATCTTTTTTTATTGTAAGATAGTATATGTGAAAATTTGGACCAGTTTTCATGGATTGCTTTAAAAACTAGACAAGGAAAAAAAAAAAACTAGGGAGAAACTAGTATCTGTGTATATTAAAGCACTGAGAAGACAGACATATTTTTTAAGCTTGCATGTAAGTAACTGAAATACCAAAACAAAGTAGCATAAGAAAGTGGTATACTAATGTTTTTGGGAAACTGTGGATCTAAATTAGAATTATCTACAACTGGGGAAAAAGGTAGGCTTGAAAGTGAAAAGGATAATGTAAGAAAAATCAGATTCATAGATGAATAAATAAGGTGAAGATTCAAAGTCCAAAAAAGTTGATTCATGATATAATATATCTCATTCCTTTAGCAGTTTTCTTTACTGTTAGGATTTGTCATCTGATTGCAAAGAAAAAACCATTAAACAAAACAAAATAAAACACAAGATTATTGTGTCAACCATTTGTAAGTGCCTATGTTTTTGTTAACATTTGATATTGATATATTTATTTGGGAGTACTAATTACTCTAGAGATGTTTAATCTCAACAATTATGCAATTTGATAAACATTAATATGAGTGTCTCATTGTTACCCTTGTGTGTTTTTCTTTTGATTATAGGTATCTGTAATTCTTCCACATCAAGTAAGCTTGTAGAAGCTATCCCATCAAATAATTCCAGATCATTTCCAAATTTTGGTATGTGCATTATTTTATACATAATTTTAGACCAAAAGTCCTTATATTTATATTCTTTTTCATGCAATTTATCTTTTTAATTTTAATCTGTTATCTTTTTTTTTTCTATGCTAAAAATCAAATCCGGGGCTGCATTCAATGTTAGGTACCCACCTTACCACTGAATAACACCCTCATTCCTCAGTTACATTTTACCATCTCACATACTGCTGAAATGCATATGTGAAAAAGAAATGTAGACAACTGAATTATTGTACTAGCATGTAGTAAATAAACATGACTAGTGAAATGAAATTGAGACGCTCTAGTTTCATTTGTATTTATAGCAAAATTACAAAAAATATACAAGTGTCATTAAAACAACAGTTATCTAATCTTGTATAACTCATTAAACAGTAAGAGAAGAAGCACAATTTTGAGTTTATAGGAACGCTATAAACAATAAAGGAATTGCTTAGCCATTTGACCTTAAGTATAAACTACAAACCAGATGATAATTTTGTATTTTAAGCATTGCACTTCTTTGTACTACTTGTACTTTTGATACTTAAAATAGCATTATAGCATAATTTCTAAGTGGGCAATTAATGTAGGCTGTAACTACTAAATTTATTAACCAAAAAGCTGACATTCAAAAGGATCTAGAAGACTCCAAGAGTATTTTGAAGGTATTTCTGGCAATGTGTCTTTTACAGTAATAATTTTTTTTGGTTTTTTTTCTTTTTATCAGTACCGGGGATCGAACTCACGACTGCCTGCTTTACAAGGCAGGCGCTTATGCCGCTGAGCTAAATTCCCAGCCCCTACAGTAATAATTTAAAAATTTAAATGTTCACTGTACTTCTTGGTCAGTTCTCATATATAGTTGCTCAGATACAGTTTTTTATTTCTATGAAAAAAGCAGAGAGAGATTTTTGTGGAGAAGTACAAATTTCTGCCATAGTTGTATTATGGATCCTATTTCAGTTTAAGATAATCTCTAACTAGAATTTCTGTATTTGTTTCTTTAACCACAAAATTTTGTCTGGATTCTATTAACTACAGTTTAAAATATTATTCAAAATTACAATTTATATGAAGTCATTTAGTTAATATCATTTATGTAAAATATTGCATTAACTATGAAAAAGTATTCAGTTTTGCCTGGAACATACTGGTCCTATTTTCTTCTTTTTCTTTCAACCAGTGATACTGCTTGTCTAACCTATAACATACATAACTTCATAGCAGTTTAAAGCTAAAATATTAGAAGGATGCCTCTATGTTGCTTCTCAAATGTGCCTAGATTTGAATAGTTGACTTACTAGAAAAGCAGAATTTTTTTCATTGTTGCTTTTTATAAAAAACAATATTAATTGTAAAGATATATTGCTCAAAAACATAGTTAAATTTAAAAGAAAAACTTGTGGTTCATGTTTCCTGAATTGACCCAAATGCCAAAAAAAAAAAAAAAAAAAAAAAGAAAAAGATGCTTCACATTTTTTTTTATTAGAATTGAACAATAAAGGAGACTAAACGTAAGAATTCCTTATATCTTACATACTTCATCAGGTAACATGTCCATACTTCTAATCCCAGCCCATTTGTATTACAGTCAAAATATCTGTGCTGATATTTTGACTATCACATATACCTATTTAACATGAAATATTTTACCGTCTATCTTGTCTTTTATTTAGAGGGGTAAAATGTACACGAACTAGGCTGAGGATCTTTCCTCCAATTTTTTTTATTGCCTTTGTTTTCTTTTTTTTTTTTTTTTCATTTTTATCGGTACCAGGGATCGAACTTTTATTGCCTTTGTTAATTTTACTGACTTACTATTCTTACTTTTTGCGTTTTCTTTTCCCATCCCCTGCTATGCTATTATTCTTCCGGTTCTGATATAGTTTTTTGTAAGTCATGATTTAGGTAACATTTGAGTAGAAACTAGGTAAGGTGATGAAATAAAAGGTTTAGGAATATCTTTTGAGTTTCTCATACTCTTTTGTTCTGATTTGCAAACTTTTCATTTCACTAGAGTCTAAGGACTCTGTCTTTAGAGTTACTACCTGTAAGATGCCTTGAAAATATACTACATTTAAAGAAAAGGAAAAGCATTTTTTTTGTGAAATTATAAAGACTAATGTCACCAACCTGCAAATCTTTTGATAGTACCCCAAAATAGCTTTTATTATTTGTAAAAATTTTCCTCATCCTCCTTTGTGGAAGGTAGGGGGTATGAGTCTGACAGAAAAAAGATAAGTAAAAATGATTGTTCAGCAATTTAGTTTTCCAGGATTATTAGTTTATCTTTCCTCTAATATTGTCTAACATAATTGTTTAGTAGTTCAGGACTTTCTGAGTCTGCATAAAGGTATAATTGGATTTAATGCAGTAATGTACAAGTAATAGGTTTGAGTTTTGTGAAACTAAAATTGAATTTTGTGATGAGTTGATAGTGGATAATAACGGAGATAAATGAAATTTTGTACTGAATTATAAAAGGTTATTATCACTTGGGTTTTCTACCCAATTATTACCATTATTAAATCTAAGTGCTCTACAAATTTAAAATATTAGTAATCATGCTGGTGGTATGGCAGAGTGGTAGATCAAACCCAATGGCACAATGCCCTAGGTTTGATTACCTGCACTACAAAAATAAAATCAGTATTCTGTTGTCATTTAAGTTTTAAATTACTATACTGTCTTTATGATCTTTTACTAAATTGGTCAAAGATGCTATCTAGACTCACTGTAATTTCTGAGTATTTGTTTTCTTTAGTACTGGGGACTGAACCCAGCCAGAGCCCTTGTTAAATTGCTATGTTGCCCTTGCTGGGTTTGAATTTATGATCCTCCTGCCTCAGCCTCTCAAAGTACTGGGATTATAGTTATGGACCATTATTTATGCCTGGTTTCATTTCTATACTTTAAAAAATAACTTCTTTTTTCACTTTTATTTTTGTTCTCAGGTTTTGCAAATCGTTTTTCAAAACCTAAAGGACCACGGAACCCACCACCATCTTGGAATATTTAATACAACTCTGGATTTATAAGAATATGGGTTGAATATGTATTTGTATCTGCAAATACAACTACTGGCTAGCTAAAATAAATGCTATATAGTCATAATATCTTAAAGAAGATATGATGTTAATAGCTTTTAAAAGAAAATCATTATGTGAAAAGTCCAGTTTTGCATTTTCCAATCATTACATTGGGTTGGAAATTGTAGATAAAACAGTTCATTATTTGAGTTTATGAAAAGAATGTGTATGAAAAACATTTTTAAAATGGATTTATTTTTTACTTTTGGAAGTCATTCTATTTTTTTATGTAAGTATAAATTTTTGTTCATTTTTGTTTTGTTCACTATGTTACCCAGTCTGGTCTAGAGCTCTTTAGAGCAAATGATTCTCCTGCCTCAGCCTCCTGATTTCATGATGTGTTACCATGCATGATTGAAATATAAAGTTTTCTTCAGTTTTTTCTGAGAGTAAATATTCTACCTATGTGTGGTACATAATGTTTACATTCTTTGTCAGAAATTGGTATGTGTAAAAGCTTTTATAAAAAATGGATTCCAATGAAATTTCTACATGGTAAGAATATAATAAAAAATTTAATTTTAAAATATTACCTCGTAGTTGCAGTACAAAATTACTGCTTGTGACAATGCCTATTCTGTGGGGGTTATTTTTGCCTAAATGGAGTCACATATCTTTCCAAGTGTGAGAGACGGTAATAGTACGAAAAGAAGTTGTATTTAAGAGACTCAAATAATGATTTTTTAATAATTTGTTATTTGCATAGATCAACAAGATTGTCAACCACATTCCTATGTTTTAATCTCAACTACCAATTCTAGAAAAACAACAAAATTGCAACATTTTGGTAGAATTTCCTTTATATAAAAGGTCCTATATAAACATGCAGTTTCTACACAACCAACCAAAGGTTCTGGTCATTTAAATTTCTGTATGTGGATTTGTATTAAGACAATCTGACTTTCCAAATCTAATTTTATGTAGCAAATAAGTTAGTAGAACAAGTATGATTTGAACGGATTCACTTTTCTTACCCTAATGATTTAACATCTTATTTTTTAAAAGTTTATTTTTTAGAAACAATATTAGCAGTATTTTCTCATCAGTATTTTTTATTAGAAAGCCTAATGATGGGGTAAATTGAATGTCACGTTACCTGTCTATTGTAGTACAATGTACCCACTAGGTATCAATAAACTTTGTTTTCAGACTAACTTCATTGCAGTAGTGTTCATTTAGTTTTTAGTAATTCTCTAAGAATTAGTGGTATCAAAGCAGTAATTTAATCTGCTGAATATATCACTAAAACCCGTTATTTTCAAATATCCTTGTTGAAGACCAAATACATTAAAAGGATACTAGCTAAAAGCTACAGTGGCAAAATTCTAAATGAATTTCCCTTGACGAGGTGACTTTCTGGTGCCTTTCAAATGTATGCAACCTTATGCTTATGATTTGAAAAAAAAATCATATAACAATTTAAAATATGCTTCTCCGCCTAGGATTTTTCGAAGCTGTAGAAATGTATTCAAAGTAAATGCCGGGTTCCTTGGGATTCCCAGCAGGTCTTGCACCTGTCCTGTTACGTGTGTAGCAGGAACCACAGCAATGCCCAGAAGGTGCTTCCAAATATTTCTCAACTGCATCCTACTGCGTATCTCAGCAAAACAAACCACAGTCATTTTACATAACAGTAAACTCTCTTTCTCTCTTCATCGTTTGTCAGGGGACAAGGCCAGAGATTCTTTCACCTCACAAAGAGTATGAGAGAAACATGACACTTAAAAGTCACTATGGAAACCACCTATTCGGTGTAAAATGACGAAGGGACGCAGGAAGACGATAACGTGAGCGCGCCGCCCGACTCGGAAAGCCATTAACAATGTTTGGGCCGTTAAGGCGGTTGGCGGCAACTAGCCGGCTGGCAGCCGTTGCGTCGCAGCCCGAAGCGTGACTCGACGCACGCTCCCTCTCGGCTCCTCCACTCAGCCAAGGACGCGGCGGGGGTGGCGGAACTACCGGTCCCACGCGTCTTTGCGTGGCCCAGGGCGCTTTACAATAGAAGCTCGGTGGTAAGGCCTGCGGAGCTTTGGGAACTGCCGCTTCCGGCATGTTCAACTCCGCTCCGAGTACGGCCGACAAATGGAGGGAGAAGGAGAGACTCCAATGCCCAGAGGGCCGTGCGCAAGTGGCGCTTGCGCGTTGCGCGGACGGGGGGGCGGTCGGGCCATTTAAATGTGTGTTTGTGGGTGAAATGGCTGCGCAGGTCGGAGCAGTGCGCGTAGTACGGGCGGTGGCGGCGCAGGAGGAACCGGACAAAGAGGGGAAAGAGAAGCCCCATGCTGGGGTTTCGCCGCGGGGAGTGAAGCGGCAACGTCGGGCAAGCAGTGGGGGCTCTCAGGAGAAGCGGGGGCGGCCGAGCCAGGACCCCCCTCTCGTTCCCCCGCACCGGCGGCGTCGCAGCCGCCAACATCCCGGGCCGCTGCCGCCAACGAATGCTGCACCAGCCGTCCCGGGCCCTGTGGAGCCTCTGCTCTTGCCTCCGCCGCCGCCACCGTCGCTGGCCCCTACCGGGCCCGCTGTCGCCACCCAGCTCCCGGCCCCGGGCACCTCGGCCCTCTTCACCTTCTCGCCCCTGACGGTGAGCGCTGCCGGGCCCAAGCATAAGGGCCACAAGGAGCGACACAAGCACCATCACCACCGCGGCTCAGATGGCGAACCCAGCTCCTGCGTCCCTGGCGATCTCAAGCACAAGGACAAGCAGGAAAACGGCGAGGGGACTGGAGCGATGACTGTGATGAAGGCCCCCAAGCGAGGTGAGAACGGGAGAACTGCCCGGGCTTGGGCTCGAGATTTCTATGGATTCCGCATCTCGTCTCTTTAGTACTGAACGATTCCCCAACCCTGGTTACCTTCCTGCTGCTCTGCTCCCTGGAGCCCCTCGGAACCTTGATTTCTGCCTTTTGACACAGTCTGACCTAATTGAGGCTTCTTGCTCCGAGGCTGAGCTGTCAGTTACAAACCCCATTTCCAGTCCCTCGCAGCCTAGAAACGTTTGTTTTCAAATTCGGCAAGGTTTCAGCGCCGCGCGCGGTCCTTGGTTTGGAATTAGTGGATAGGGTACTAAAAACTGCCTTTCTGAAGGAAAGGCGCGTCGCTAAAACCATTCTCCTTGTCCCCCCCCCCCCCCCGAAATTTTTGGTTTTTACCTCCACCCCTCTACCTCCGCCCCCAAATATTCATAGGTCTGGTTCGGGTCGTTTATGAATTATAGAGGCTACACAACTCATTGGGTGCCTTAGCTTCTGCAAGGTAAAGAAATCAAATACTATATATCTTCCTTTTTACGTAGAGATATAGTTAAAAAAATCTTTTTTTACTGTTTTAACTCTTAGGATAGGGATAGAAAAGGTTTTCTCTCCAATTTGATCCCAGGAAATACTAGTGCCTCTGAAAAGAGGTAAGAATGCAATTGATAGAGGTAAGAATTCCTGTTGCATTTTATTTTGTCTAGCACAATTTGAATAGCCATATAATACCAGTAACCTTCAGGAATATTTAACCCAGGAAATGTAGGACTATTTAATTAAAGATAGATTCTAGGGAAATTAGGTTGTTTTCCTATTCTCAAGTACTTGTACCATTTATATTCCGTGTGGAAGAAGTGAAGTATACTTTGGATTGTGCCATTTGTTTGCTTTGTATGTATTTATTGTTATTTTTTTAAGATTTTAAGATATTTCTATGCTACTGGGCCAGTTTGGTTATTACATTTTACTGAACCAATCTTTCACTCTGAAGTTTTGGGAGCCTTACATTCATTCTTTCCATATACTTGGTCTTAGGGCCAACTGATTTTTTTGTGTGCCTCAGTACTTCCAATAGTGCTAATATAAATAATTGCTCAGTAAGTATTTATTGAAATGAGGTAAATTTTTTTTGATTTGTCCAAATCTCACTCTCAGAAATAGAACTTATGCCAAATTAACAGGAAATATTGATGGAATGATAATCCATGTGGAATGGTCTTTTTTTTATTTCAATCTTTATTCTTCACATTCTTGCGTATGTGTGTGTGTGTGTGTGTGTGTGTGTGTGTGTGGTATGTACACATGCAAGTGTGGTATGTGTATTTATCCAATTTGTGTTACAGAAGAGAAAATGAAGGTCCAACATAGTGAAGAGACTCATTAAATCTGTTAACTAGTACTAACTACAAAAATTAAGAGATTTTTAAAATTTAAAAAAATTTAAAATCATTAGCACAACAAGGTGTAGAACTCAGATATACGTATCTTGGTTGCCGCTTCATCCACAGGCTACATGATTTTGCTTTCTTTCTTTATTTTCCTGTGCTTGATACTACAGTGGCAGTAGCTGAATGTAAATCAAGAATCTCATACCTAGTTCCATGTTATAGGGAGATGGTGGCAGGGATGTGTAGTAATGTACAGAATACTTCTCTGAAGATTGCATACGTCCCATGTTCGTTTTAAAAGGAAATTAAAAACCAGCCTGGAAGCCAGTATTGATGGATAGAAATGATAGTACTGATGGATAAATGATGGAAATGTTTTATATTTCTGGCAGGCAGTGTGGTAGCTATGTGTGGCTCTTGAGCAGACTAGAAATGTGGCCAGTGTGACTGAGAAAGTGAAATTTTAATTATATTTAATTCTAACTTATAGTTAGCTATATATGGCTATTGAGTACCATAGCTTTCAACATTTGTAGTTGACTAGTACGTGAAGAGAAATAGGTTAAGGTGAGGCCATTTAAGCATTTTAACTTTTGGCTGGATATACTGCAGTATATACCCAAACTATAGTATTGGAAAAAGAGTTTAGAAACATTTTGTAAAAACTGCACTGTACTAGTCTAAATACTTGACAAGTGTTGGCATTTTAAAAGTCCTGAAAACTGTACAGAAAAACTGGTTTAACTGTTGCTTAGTCTCAGTTTTTTCTTTTTTTTGTCTTTTTATCAGTACTGGGGATCGAACTCACAACTGCCTGTTTGCAAGGCAGATGCTTATGCCGCTGAGCTAAATCCCCAGCCCCTTAGTCTCAGTTTTTGCACACCCACTTTATATTTCTTTCTCTGAATATATTTATTTTTGTTACCTTCATACAAGAGATATGTCTCTGTAGTTAATCTGAATTTAAATTGTGACTTTTCTACATTAACCTGTTTTTAGTTTTCCTGTCTGTAAAAATGGGCTGTGGTATTTTATTTGTAAAGTTGTTACATAGAATAATTGGAGCAATGTATGGAAAGAACTTAAAATACTGCTTGCTTCATGGTAGGCACTTAATTAAAACTGGCTTTTTTTAAATAACTGGTTTTCAAAACAACTCTATGCTTAATAAGGAGAGTGGGTAGAGTTGTTTATAGAGTTGTATCTTCCCTTTGCTTATCCTCCAATTTTTAAAATCTGTTTTAACTTTATTTTGAGATAATTACAGATTCATAGGAAATTGCAAAAAACAGTCAGGTCTTTACCTTCTAGCAGTTTTCTTCAGTAATTACATCTTACATAACTGTTGTATAATGCCAGCACCAGGAAATTGACATGGTACAATGTGTATGTGTAGATTTATGCCATCTTATCACATGTAGATTAGTGTAATCACCACTGCTATCAAGATGCAGTACTATTCCATGTCCACAAAATCCCTCTTGTACTGTATACCTTTTCAACTTCAGATACTCTCTTGTTTTCTCCACTTTCCTCCCCCCCCCAGCCCTTGGCAACTACTAATCTGTTTTTCATCTCTAATTTTGAGAACATTATATAAATGGGATCACATAGTATATAATCTTTTGAAGTTCACTTTTTTCTTTCAGCATACTGTCTGCAAGACCATTCACATGGTGTATATATTAATAGCTCCATTCCTTTCATTGCTGAATAGTGTTCCATAGTACAGATACTTTTGTTCCCCTGTTAAACCATTTGTCTGTTGAAGAACATTTTGTTTTTTTCTGGTTTGGGGCTATTATGAGTAAAGCTCCTATGAACATTTTTGTGTGGAAACAGATTTTCATTTTTCAGGGGGAATATGATTCTTAGGTCATATTTTAAGTACATATTTAGATAACGTTTTTATCATGTTACCATATTATTTTCTAGAGTTTCTATACTATTTTATATTCCTACCAATAATTTTTTTCCAAATTCTTGATAATATGTGGTGTTCTTTTTATCTTAGCT